TCCACAATCGTTTACACAGATGGGAGAACACATAACTTGTATATCTTACTTTGAAAGCAAATTGTTTTCCTTTTTTTTTAGAGAGTATGAGACTACTTCAGAAGTTCATGCAAAACAAAACAAAACTTTATTACAAAAAAAGTTCAAATCCATAGTTCATTTTCATAATGGGCATTTTCTGTGAACTTTCTGAAGGTATGCTGATGTTAATACTCTTTGAGCACGTAGATACACACTTGCCAGCGCTTCAAGAAGATCTACAGATTCAACTTTGATGCTGTAAAATAACTATGAAACACTCCTACTTACCCAAATGATATAAATTACAAAAGAATATAGGTCTCCAAGAGCAACTTTTACCGCTTTTACTCTCAAACATTAAGATATATAACTTGCTACAATGGAGGTGGTAGAGGGAGCAATGTTACGAAGCTAGATTGTAATTCCGCACTGCCCATACTGAAATTTCATGGCCCTGAAATTTACAAGCTATCATCTCTGTGCTTCAAGTTTCCTCATCCAGAAAATACACATAACAGAACTGATCACAAAACACGTTTGATCCTTGGGTAGATTGCCTTCAATAGCCACAAAATGACTGCCAAGGTAGGAAAGCAACAAAAGCCCTAGGTAGACTCTCCACTTAGCCTGACCCTCAAAACACAACCTAACCACCCCTTTATCCTCAATTCTAACCTTGTATATTACAACATTAAATTACTTCTTTATTCCAGGAAACTATTTTCAAAAAACCTCTGCTGCAAATCTGGCCACATTGTTTCCATTCAATGATCATATTATGCTATCTGTACCCCAAATGTTCTGCTAAGTCTACTGAATGAACCACTTAAAGTCTGCAGCTTAATAAATAAATAGCCCAGCTACAGGGAACATAGTTAATAATTAATTATATAAAAATTAATTTTCCATTAGAAGTTCGACATATTTTGAAAACATTTCAAGAAACCAATTTAAAGATAACTACTTAAATACATCACAAATGTTAGGAAATTTGCTCAACTTTGTTACAGAGCTCTTTTCCCACTGGTATAATGACATAATCTAGAATTTAAATGTTTAAATTTTAAACCAAAGAAAAGAAAAGCCCAGTTTGCATGGTCCCTATCGTATACAGTTCCTGTACCTCAATGGTGTCTACCCCCAACACTGCAGTTCACAGTTAATCTGCTTCAGTACCTGCTGCTGCCACTTAACACTGAATTCCCTTACCAGACTGCCAGGACATTTACTCACATAACTGCAGCCACTGTCATTTCTGGCTTCTAAAGGAGAATGATTCAATTACAGGCCAACACAAAACAGGACTGGGGTCGTGGGGAGGAGGGCGGAATCAGGGACTGGCGGGCACTGTTGGCATCCCTGCTGTTCCATCTTCAGATCCCGGTGTAGGCACGCTTCTCTTTCCTTCTCATCACTGATTACTACACATTCTTTGCTCTAAGTAAGCTTTCACGTTCTTATTTCACATGGTTTACTCTAAGTAAGTTCTCATGAAGACAGATTTCTCTCACATGTGCAAAAGTACATGATTTCTGATCTCTAGGTTCCTGAAGATACACCACTGGTGTTTTCCCTTGTACTAAGACTTCCCAGCAATTCGTCTTTTTAAATCCTTCAGAACACCATTTGTTATTTATATACTCTGATGACAGGAAGAGAGAAACAAATGTTAAAATTGTTCTGTGTCTCAGAAAGATGAAGAAAGAAATCCTATGTATATATTAAGTGTGTGGTAACACGAGCTGACAACCAACTAATGGAAGAGAAGCATAAAGAAGAAAAGTCTAGTGTCAGGAAATTCTCAGTATGTTCTAGATATTTACTAAACCAAAGTTGTGATGAATCCCCTTTGTTCTCAAACCAGAAAACCTACCCTCCAAGACCCTGCCACCCATTCCTGTGGTCCCAGTTAGCAGATTATTCTAGAGTTCCTGTCCCAGTCTTTTGAACTACCCTGAGAAGTGTTTCCAGGACATCCTGTTGGTGCTCTCTGAAGACACCCTCATAAAGGGCAGTGGCGCTTCACAATGCATCAGCATTATTACAGCTCAAGCGCAAGGCTACATGAAGGATTCCTTATGTAAAACACTCCTAGAAAGTTAGTATTATTACGCATTCCTCAACTCCTGAAAACAAACAAACAAATAAATACAATAACTAAAAAAACTCATAGAACACTGCTCATTTGTATTTCATGAACTACCTATACTTCTGATGTGACAATTCCCTGTAATAAAGCAATTTCCTTTCTTCCTATATATAAAAAAAATCTATTTCTAAACTTTTATATCCTGAGTACCAGATTGCCTCACTACAGCAGTCCAAGCCATTGCTGGAAGGCAGCCCCAATAGTAGGATGAGAGTAATTTCACACATATCTTCTATTTAAGCAGTCACACATGCTATGACACTGCCCAAATGCCAAACACTGAGCAAAGAACTTTTATAAACTTAAGTTTCAGTTTAAAAGTACCTTAAAACTTACAAGAAAAAAAAAACCTGTTCTTACAATTCTAAATTTGTCACTTCAAAGGGAAGACGATTGTATAGCAACAAAACACAGGAATGGGTCTAACTCCGCTATTATATGCAGGTCAACTTCATTATTTCATATAATATGTTTACAATATTTATTCTTATCATTTCAGGTCTTCCAAACCAAAATGCTCCAATATGAATAACTTCTAAGTCAAAATATAGTCAATTCAGAAATTTCTTCTGCTCCACCATAATAAGCTAATGGTAGGGATTCTGACTTTCAACTTATCATCAGACATAAGTTTTACATGGTTTAACAAGCTAATTCTCCACCCTGTGGCACCATCATCCCATATGGGTACAAGTTTGTGTCCCACATGCTCCACATTCCATCTAGTTCCCTGCTTATTGCCTAGGAAAATTGGGGGATGGCTGAAGTGCTTGGGACCCTGCAACCACATGGGAGAACTGGAAGAGGTTCCTGGCTCCTGGCTTCAGATCAGCTCAGCTCTGGCTGCAGTGGCCACTTGGGGAGTGAACCAGCAGATGGAAGATCTACTTTCTTGTTCTTCTTCATTTCTTATTCCCTGAAGAGATCAGAGAATTATAAGAAATGATGAGTAAGGCTGAGAGTTCCTATGATCCTAATGAGTGAGCTGCCTCTCCAATAATACTGATGTACACAGAGATCTTTCTCTTTACAGAAGTACCAGCGATCACAGCTTCTCTGGGAAAAGGCCTATCCACCAGTCACATTTACATCCAGCCTCAGGGAGCCAGACTGGCTATCCTTTTTCTGGGGACAAATACCTCAATTTGAAAATGACAGGCCAACTATCATCAAAAAGCAGAGGCTTAAGACCATTTAATTTTTACTCTCTGCTACACAAGAAGTCCACCATTGTGTTGTTAAGGGAGAAAATAAAACATACAGACCTAGTTCTGTCATTCAAGTACAGCAGGCCAACAACTGCCAAAATATATACTTAGCAGCTATGCTAAACTATTCTGCACATTAACATTTCAATAAGGGCTAGATAGTAGAAAGTAAAAAAAAAAGGGGGGGGGGCAGAATCACAGTGTTAAGTGCTTGAAGACTGCTTTGAATTATTTATATGTACATTAGTATATTAACTACTATTATTGCTCTATTATTGAGATAAGGATTATCATCTCACTTTCAAACCTCAGTGACAACAAATACCGCATAGATACAAAAGTGGGTAAATCTCAACCACTTAAAATAGTAGGCATTTCAGTCATTCAATGTTTACCAATGTTAGTGCCAAAGCACATCTACATATCACTTCTTCACATCCCAAAGATGATCTATTTTACTATGTAATAAAAGGTTGATACAGTACAAGTAAATGAGAATCTAACCTTTTAAATCGAAAAATAAAATTCTTAGTAATCTGAATGGTATTATAAGGAAAAATGTATACCATCATAATCAAAACAGAGTGGCTAAAGATTAAAAACCAACAAACCTGGGTAAGAGATAAAATGAGTTATTTGTACTATTCTTTCAATACTTCCATAAAGTAAAATGAAATTTAAACAATTAAAATCAGAATGATACTTAAAACATATTCTTGAATATCATCAATAATCAAGCAGCCTTAAATGCCAACATCTTTCCATATTCTTCTGAATATATTTTCTGCTCTACTGTGATAAGAGAAAAAAAATTCTACCACTGAAATATATTCTTAAAAATAATCATGGTTTTTACATTATCTGCCAATATTTAAATGGCACAATCAAGAAGATTTTACATTATGTTTACAAAGACTAGAATTCAAAGAACAAAAAAAAAAATCCATATGAAACATGAAATTCTAAGACTTTCCCATAAGTAAGTCTAGAAAATAAGAGAAAAAAACCCTAACATTCTGTTCATACGCTTGGCACATGTTGTGTTCCAAATGCCATCTTGACATTATTCATCTAAATCCTAAATTTTCTTCCTAGTCAGAATGTTTCTTTATATATAAGAAATTTAACTCAGATTAATACAGTGTCTGAAAGCTGAACGGTCTCTCTACACCACCTACCAATTTGTCCAAAAAAAAAAAAAAAAACCAACCACAGAACATTTGTATAAAATGAGCATTTAAATTGTGTGAAATTACTACTTAAAAGAAAGACAACATGTTTCTTTCATTATTTTAAAATTAGGCAAGAAAGTCACTGCCGTCCTAGCAAACACTACTACTTTCAGCTCATATTTTTATATAACATTTAAGACTTTATACTTTAAGATCTACAGTTTCATTTCAGTCTCTAAAGCTCTGCATACTAGATAACATAGATACTAGAATACCAAATCAATAGGTTACCTTTATTCTTCTTGTCTTTCAAAAAAAAGCTGAAGTTTTTCCACTTTTATTTAATCTTATAAGCAAAAAAGATAAAACAAATATCATGTAATATATCATAGTGTTCATTATGAGAACAATACTGTAACCATTCTTAAAGAATGACAGACTTTATCAATGTTAGAATTGATAAACTAGCAGACTTTGAAAAATGCAACTCATTATAAACTGAGGGGAAAATAGTCAAATTGCAGGAAATGATCAACCAGGTCACTATAATATGGAGGTAAAAAATAGTAACACAGTCAAAGCATAAATTTCCATTTTTCTTTAACAGTCTATCTGAAACTATGAGATGTAGAGAAGATTAAAACAATAGCTTTAGCGATCTCGGTTTCACTGTTTCTGGTTCTGTTATTAAAAAGAAATACCTTGGTAAGATCACAAATATTTCTGTCTACAATTTGGTATTCCATGCTTTGGGGCAGAGAGAAAGATACATGTAATTTATATAAATTGCTAATATTACAATTAGCTTTACTCATTATAACACAAATATATATTTAATAATATTTTATCATAAACACAAAAAACACACTACAAATGACTCCAAATTTGCATAAATCTAGCAATATTTTCCTTTTACAATATTTCTTTCAATCATAGCACAAGAAGAAATGTTTTTTGTTTCCAAAGGTATTAACCCTATCTAAAAGTACAATCCTCCAAACAATATGCTTCAGCACCATGGTCAGCCTCATTAAAACCCAAATCATGCTTGATACCTACATCACGAGGAAATTCAATTAAGACATAAACCTGATGTTTTCAAATATTTAAAATAAACAATCCCATAAAGACCAATCAATACATTGTAAAATCTATAAAATTATTTAAAACTTACGTTAGAAACATCATTCTTGATACTTAATTAAGTAAACCCTATAAGCACACATCCCAAAATAGACAACAAAATAAGACTGAGGTCCAACTCTACCACTGTCTGCCTTACCGACTCACACACCCTGCTCCTAATCCTGTCTCGGGATATCTACTTCAGAAGCGTTTCAATAATAAAACCTTCCTGAAGAAGGGTCACGCTGATACAATCTGAATATGGTATTTGATGATTTATGAAAAATCATGTACTGTGAATGCAATGACGCTCTCCACCCTGAGGAAGGATTAAGGTTTCCAACAGAATACATTTAGCTAACTTGACCATTCAAAAATTTTAAAGAAAAAAAAGCTAGTGACATACCATAATTAAAATATTTTGCCAAACAAATATAATTTTAAGAAATTACCAACAATGACAATATTTGATTCTCATACCTCGAGATAATTCCCATAAGAATAAAGTATACATTAAACCCAAAACATTTAATATATAATTAATGAAATCCTACTTTCATAAGAGTTAGCTACCATTGTACAGAATTTTTATACAGCAAGCACTCAAAGGCATTCATATATAAATATATGTGTATGCATACACATGGAATAATTCAAGGATATGAACAGTAAAATTGTCTTAGTAAATATAAAAACAAAAGTTAAAGGGCATTTTCAAAGTTTAAATCCTTATTATTTTATTGGGACATTTAAGAATTCAGAAGACGAAAATCATCTATTTTCAATTATGTCTATTCATCATCAGACAAACTTGGATTTAGTCTTGCTAATCAATCATTTTTAAACAACCCCTAAGGCTCTACATACGATAATCAAGTCATGAATCAGACACCAGAAAAGAACATAAAATAATATTTGCTGCAAATTATGCCACTAATTTTTTAGGGATAATCACTAAATCACACCAAAATCTCAAACTATTTGAAACATTATAAGTACTAATAACAAGAAACATTAGTTTTACCTTATGGCAATGTATTTTTCCACCTTAGCTATTGAAATAATTACTTGCATATTTGTCACTTTTTAAATGATGTATAATAGTAATTTCAAACACAGATAGGTGGAAATCTAACATAATGGTCTTCATTTCTAGTTCTGAGTTATAGCTCTACCAGGTACCACCAGGTATTAACTGGATTCAAAGCAGTGCTAAATGCTAACTATTTCTAAATTATGTCTGTATTAAAGTTTTTAGAAAAAGTCAATGCATATGTTTTCCAACAATCAAATTCACATATCTGATAAAGTCATACACTTAAATCCTTGGTCATAACTTTAAAATTTTGATATAAAGAACTACTATTGTAACACTTCCAATACATTATCTGGTAAAAAAAAAAATAATGTAAGATTTATGATATAAACATGAACTTATGCCAAAAATTAATCACCTCATATACAGTAAGAAAATATTCCCAAACATCTAAATATGCCAAATTCATTTAAAAAATTATATAGGCCCATATTTAGTCATATTTAAATTATCTCAATAGTATCATTAAATATCTATTAAGACATGAGTAGAACAGTCACCGAAATGAACAATATAGTTTAAGTGTACCATAATGTAGTGATTAAAGTTAAAACAGATCTAAAATTCTTCATTCTATTCAAAAATCTGCAAATAATCATATATAAGACTGAACTGTTTACTACAATCACATTTAGAAACAGTGAATTTTTGAGAATTTTGTAGAGATAAAGTTATATTTGGTTCCAGTTCAAAGCAACTTTTATGACATATTTCACAAAATATTTCCATGCCTGAGCACCTATGGACAGTCGGCAGTTTTTCTTCTTAACAAATAAACGTTAAGCTTCTTAACACAGGCACACGGCTGTGGCAGAAGGGTGGTGATTGTTTGGATCCAATGAAAATGTACTGAATTATTAATAATTGACTAGTTTTTAAAATTATTAGCAATGAGAACAATAACACACTCTTTAACCAAATACTTCACACACAAGGATTTACACTTAGTATGGCTTTATAGAAGTGTTCACGATACACACATATCACCCAGAAAGTATTTCTTACCTTTTATTGTATACTTCATATGATGCTGTGTTAAAATATTTGTAGTTATTTCTATTTTAAAGTAAATTTGAAAAGTCCAATATCATTATAAATATGTATACAAAGGAAAAGCTTCTTATTACTTAATATTCATAAAATGCTGAAATTTTGAGGCAAGAAGTAAAACCAGTTTTAAGGAGTAACACCATTTAATATCTTTTACTATTTGTACATAATTTTTTCTCTAAAACTGTGTTTAATTGAATTTTTCTGACAGTCCATGAGATTAAAAATAGAAAACAGAACTACTGCAATTTATAGGCTTCTAGGACTTAAAATTTAAATAACAGAACAGCGCACAAGGAAAAGCTATGTGGTGTCCTCAAATAGTGAAGTGTTTCATTTATCTATTATCAAACCAAATAATGTTCACCAAAACAATCATGGTGTTCATAATTGGGATAATTGCAACCAACATTAAAACTTATTTTAGCCTCACATTTTAAAAAATTGTAAGTAGAAATAAAAGATTTTCTAAAAACAAAACAAAACAAAAAACAAAAAGCAGGTTACAACACAGCCCCAAATCAAACCCAAAGCCATGACTGCTAAGACCGACTTCACCACACTGAGACACCACTGTCTTCAATGCCCCCGAAAAGCACCAGCTAGGGACGCAGCACTGCCTTCCAATGGCTGTGTCCTAGGCATGCAGGCAACCACAAAAACAAGAGCTATGTTCAGTAAGCCAATATGTTTATCTTTTTCGTGTCATAATTGTAAAATCCCATAATCAATGTAGTAATTGCACCTGATCATTCCAAGTGCAGAACTGGTCAAATCAGCAATAGAAAAAAGTCAAATGATTCCCATTAAAATACATTGTAAAACAATATTAGTACTTCCTTTGAAATTTTTTTGAATAGGAAAATGGTCAGTATGGTGTTAATCCTATAGTTAGCCAAAAGTTAAGGGTTTTATTTCTTGGATTTCAATGGTAATTTGATTAGGACAAGCAGCTGCCAACAGGGGGAGATTATGACTAATCAAGTTTAACTAGGTTCTGCAATGTAAATTATATTTAACAAACGAAATAATTTTAATTACTTAATATTTTTAAACAAATTTTAGAAGACATTTGAAATAGCATCAAAACTTTAATAGTTTCCATCTGCAGCTAAATAAGTAATTCTGAAATATTAAAAATGTTTAAACAATTACATATGCCCCTACACACTATATATATAAATTTTAATGTTTCCTTCTATGAATATTTCTGAAAAAAAACAAAAATGTTTAAATTCAAGCTAATTTTGAAAATAATTACACATGCCCTAAATATAAATAAATGGAAGGTTTTAATTGTTCCCCTCAATGTATATAAATTGAAGAATTTAATTTTCCTAATTGAATATATCTGAGATAATTAAAAATGTTTATATAAATGGTAAATAAATACATATACCCTTTAATACAATATAGATTAAATAAGCAAAAACCAGTAATCAAAGTGATTATTAGAGAAATTTATCTCTAGGAAAAAGAGCAACATTTCAAATTTTTGAAAATTTTACTTATAAATTTAATAATTTATTTTAAATATATGATTCCTACGAACAATACTATAAAAACTAGGCTGATATTTTCTTCTCAAATATGGTATATGTATTTGAAATACATACATTGAAAAGTTTATCAAACATAAGCTCACACTGGCTTGATGTCCCAAATGTGACCTACTGGCATCAAATTACACTTAATCTTGACATCTTTTTAAAAAAATTATGTTATTACCTTGAAAAGACAATAATGAAATCCTTTTTCAGAACAATGCAGCTCTGCAAACTTAACTCTCCTTACTACTTTGGACTTATTTTACCACATTTATCTTCTCCACGTTTTGTTTTGTTTTGTTTTTTCTTTTACCTTTGGCTCTGTTCCTTGCCTTACCTTTTCTCCTCCGCCCTCCTTTGATTTTATCTTTTTTGTTTCAGTCGTTAAGCCAGCAGCACATGGTGCCAGAGTGCCCTAAGTCACCAAGCTCTAAGAAAGCTATAAAAGCTAAACTCTTACTACTTTAAGAAAGAAAACCCAAGCCAGTTATCATGTAGAAGAGGATGAGGGGTTTTACCCCACCACACAAGGCTGTCCAATAACGCTAAGACTCAAATCAAGTGATTGTAACTTCTCAGGCACACACATAGAGCTCTTGGAAAGCATCCAACGTGGGGGTGGGGAGCGGGGGAGGGTAAATCTCTTCTCTCCTGTCTAGAAAACTAAACAAATAAATGGGCTGTAATAATTCAATTTCACAAGTCCACTGAACAAGGAAGTGTTTAAATCTTTATAAACCAGAACTGTAAATGTTTTAATAATTTGTAATTTTTAAACATTTACAAATCTTCCATACTAGACTATTTATACTTTCCATAATCCCTGCTCCAACTAATAAAGAGTATTAACTAATAACTATGTAATAACTATGTCACTCAAATATGAAAATCCTTAATTTTATAACCTGTCCAACAAGGATTATTACCCTTTATAGCTTGATTTTGTCATATCATCATATTTCAATAGGTTCTCTCCAGTTTACTTTATAAATCAAATTAGCTTTTTAACAATTCAGATAATGTTGATTTTAATCTCCAAAAATTGTATAAATTTATGTGAAGAAAAATCATATTTAATAATTATCTGCAAATAAGCTTTATGCGAAATGTCTAAGCCAAATAAATGATTACTAACTATTACATCCATGAAGGATTCCAAAGAGTGTTTATGCAACAATATATAATACTAATGTTAATGGAACTTAACAATGAATGCTTATTAAAATCATGATTGCTGGCACTAACATCCATTGCAGGACATGCAGGCACTTGTGAGGCGTTCACATCTACAACAGCTTCCACCTTTAGAGCCTTGAACTGCTGAGTGCACAGTACTGTTGGAGCACTGACCTGGAAGAACATGTAACCTTTTATTGGTGCAAATTCAAAAAAGCCCAGCTCTTCCCATACCGTGTCCACGTAGGAAGCGGTCACTGCTTTATAGAAGGAGAGACGACGCTGGACGCTGTGCAGACAAGCAAGTCTGCACAACTTGCCCAGAACATGTTTCAATGCCCATGCTGTGCATTTTTCCTACCAGAAGGTAATCCAGTCTATTCCTAAAGATGTTGCTTCTTCCTTACCAACTATTACTTAAAACTGAGAAGCAAAAAGAAAAGTAATAAAAGCAGATGAATTTTTAAAAGCAGAACAAACTGAATTGAAAAAGTGCCTTAGGCAAAGGTTACGGTCAAACAACAAAGTAGGAAAAAATATATCTCTTATCACTATAAGGAAGCAATATCTGTAATACAGAAAATGTACTGAGGAACAGAGAAGGAAAAAATAGCAATTTGGGGGGAAAAAATGAGCAAAAGATAAACATAGAAAGAGAAATCCAAATTATACATACAATGTCCAATGACCAAAACAAATTACTCAGATTGCACTTGTTGCATATAAAAACAGCAAACACTGACTAGTTTAACAACTGCAGCATTAGAAAAGTCATGGGAAATGAACACTTTTTCTCCACAGCTTACAGGAAATTAAAAAAAAAAAAAAAGCCTAAATGTTAAAAATGGCCCTCTCTCAAAATTATAGGTACCTATTTCCTTCAGTCTAGCAACAATATTCTGAAAATATCTCCTACAAATTCACCTAAGTTTGTTCAAATGTACGCATTTCATAACAGGACAATCCATGCTATAACAAAATAATAATGGCATACTCTGGCTGATGAAAAGAGTGATACTACTTCCAAACTGTATGCTAACCCAAATATTAGACTATTACTCCTCAGTTCAGAGAAAAGAAAATAAATTACTTACTAAAAAGTAAAAACTGAAAAACAAGTAGGATTTATTTCAACAGAAGGAAAAGGTACTCTAGGATGGAGAAAGGAAATGCAAATATTAAGAAAACAGGTCCCACCTTAATACATAATAAAACCTGCCTTCTTAAGCAGGAAAAGAATTTTATTGAATAAATTCATTTGTCTTGAACTGACAGTATCTGAATAGCATAAAGAAATTCTGCAATACAGATGTAAAAATAAAGGGATTGTAACTGGAGGTAACAGTAGGAACATGAATGGCATCAGCCAGAGGAAACAGAAACAGCGTCAAAAACTGAAACAGAAGATGGACATGAGCAAGACATGAACAATGGCCAAAATTTTCTGGCCTACAGAACCAACATTTCCATTTTTGTCTATAAAAAAAATCCTCTGTTTCATAAAGTGCTTGTGAGCAACTACCACGTGCCCCGGAAACTCTTGCAGGCAACAGGACACAACAGTAACCAAAGTAGTCAACCTCCCTGCTCCCATGGCTTCCATGTGGCGGAACATGATCAACAAATAATAATAATAAATGACATATCAAAAGATTTTAGACAAAGGCAAAAGCATTTACCACTGATAAAGCGATGTGCCTCATCCAAACAAAAAACCTTGCATTCTTCCAAAGGAAAAGCTATCCATAAGAAAAACTTACAATGGCCATTATCTAATGTTAAGAAATCACAATGAAAATACAAAGAGAACTCTTACAACTTGATGAGAAGGCAACAAATTCTTGAAAAAGAGAGAGAGAAAGGAAGAAAGGAAAGAAGGAAGGAAAGAAGGAAGGAAGGAAGGGAGGGAGGGAGGGAGAAAGAACTGCTAACACATATTAAAAGGTGGTCAGCATCATTTAAGCATTGGAGATAACAAAATAAGATAAACCAATATATCCACTCAGAATCAAAACCACAATATGGTACAAAAGTATGCCCATTTGGAAAGGCTAAAATTAAAAAGTCAACAACACCATCTGTTGAGATGGATGGAATACAAATGAAGCTCCCAAATATGGTGCATTGGAAGGAAAAATGGTACAACCACTTTGTAAAACTGTGACAATCACTCACAAAGTTGAAATTTAACATACAATTATTGCAAGACCTAGTCATTCTACTCCTAGACATTTATTCAAGACAAATAAAGTTGGTTTTTCCCTTCAAAGACTTCTTTATGAATGTTCATAGCACTTTTTCTATAATGGTTAAAAACTGTAAGCATCACATGTGTCCTGTAATAAACACAAAAGCAAATGTTGCATTTCCTTGCAACGAAATACTACTCTGCAATAAAAAAGGAATAAACTATGAAACACAATCACACAAAGTCACACACCTAGCAGCTATCAATAATTTATGAACAATAAGCAGATCCAGACTTAAGCAGATCTAGAGTTAAGTCAAGAGTCAAGAAGAATCACTTCCAAAAATGCACCATGGAAATGTGACCCTAAATTATAACTCTAAAGTCTGAACGACCTCTATGGAGATACCCCATAAGCTAAACTGTCTCT